AGTGTTCTGCCTATGTTTTCCTCTAAGAGTTTTATACTGTCTGGTCTTACATTTAGGTCTCTAATCCATTTTGAGTTTATTTTTGTGTATGGTGTTAGGGAGTGTTCTAATTTCATTCTTTTACATGTAGCTGTCCAGTTTTCCCAGCACCACTTATTGAAGAGGCTGTCTTTTCTCCATTGTATATCCCTGCCTCCTTTGTCATAGATTAGTTGACCATAGGTGGGTGGGTTTATCTCTGGGCTTTCTATCCTGTTCCATTGAGCTATATTTCTGTTTTTGTGCCAGTACCATACTGTCTTGATTACTGTAGCTTTGTAGTATAGTCTGAAGTCAGGGAGTCTGATTCCTCCAGCTCCGTTTTTTTTCCTCAAGACTGCTTTGGCTATTCGGGGTCTATTGTGTTTCCATACAGACTTCAAGATTTTTTTGTTCTAGTTCTGTAAAAAATGGCACTGGTAATTTGATAGGGATTGCATTGAATCTGTAGATTGCTTTGGGTAGTATAGTCATTTTCACAATGTTGATTCTTCCAATCCAAGAACATGATATGTCTCTCCATCTGTTTGTGTCATCTTTGATTTCTTTCATCAGTGTCTTATAGTTTTCTGAGTACAGGTCTTTTTATCTCCTTAGGTAGGTTTATTCCTAGATGCTTTATTCTTTTTGTTGCAGTGGCGAATGAGATTGTTTCCTTAATTTCTCTTTCTGATCTTCTGTTGTTAGTGTATAGGAATGCAAGAGATTTCTGTGCATTAATTTTTGTATCCTGCAACTTTACCAAATTCATTGATTAGCTCTAGTAGTTTTCTGGGGGCATCTTTAGGATTCTCTGCGTATAGTATCATGTCATCTGCAAGCAGCGACAGTTTTACTTCTTTTCCAATTTGTACTCCTTTTATTTCTTTTTCTTCTCTGATTGCCATGGCTAGGACTTTCAAAACTATGTTGAATAATAGTGGCGAGAGTGGACATCCTTGTCTTGTTCCTGATTTTAAAGGAAATGCTTTCAGTTTTTCACCATTGAGAATGATGTTTGCTGTGGGTTTGTCATATATGGCTTTTACTATGTTGAGGTAGATTCCCTCTCTGCCAACTTTCTGGAGAGTTTTTATCATAAATGGGTGTTGAATTTCATCAAAAGATTTTGCTGCATCTATTGAGATGAACGTATGGTTTTTCTCCTTCAATTTGTTAATATGGTGTATCACATTGATTGATTTGCGTATATTGAAGAATCCTTGCATCCCTGGGATAAATCCCAGTTGATCGTGGGGTATGATCCTTTTAATGTGTTGTTGGATTCTGTTTGCTAGTATTTTGTTGAGGATTTTTGCATCTATATTTATCAGTGATGTTGGTCTGTAATTTTCTTTTTTTGTAGAATCTTTGTCTGGTGTTGGTATCAGGGTGGTGGTGGCCTCATAGAATGAGTTTGGGAGTGTTCCTTCCTCTGCAATTTTTTGGAAGAGTTTGAGAAGGATGGGTATTAGCTCTTCTCTAAATGTTTGATAGAATTCACCTGTGAAGCCATCTGGTCCTGAACTTTTGTTTGTTGGAAGATTGTTAATCACAGTTTCAATGTCATTACTTGTGATTGGTCTGTTCATATTTTCTATTTCTTCCTGGTTCAGTCTTGGAAGGTTATACTTTTCTAAGATTTCGTTCATTTCTTCCAGGTTGTCCATTTTATTGGCATAGAGTTGCTTGTAGTAGTCTCTTATGATGCTTTGTATTTCTGGGGTGTCTGTTGTAACTTCTCCTTTTTCATTTCTGATTTTATTGATTTGAGTCCTTTCCCTCTTTTTCTTGATGAGTCTGGCTAAAGGTTTATCAATTTTGTTTATCCTCTCAAAGAACCAGCTTTTAGCTTGATCGATCTTTCCTATTGTTTTCTTTGTTTCTATTTCATGTATTTCTGCTCTGATCTTTATGATTTCTTTCCTTCTATTAACTTTGGGTTTTGTTTGTTCTTCTTTCTCTAGTTCCTTTAGGTGTAAGGTTAGATTGTTTATTGGAGATTTTTCTGTTTCTTGAGGTAGGCTTGTATTGCTATAAACTTCGCTCTTAGAACTGCTTTTGTTGCATCCCATAGGTTTTGGATCATTGTGTTTCATTGTAATTTGTCTCTAGGTATTTTTTGATTTCCTCTTTGATTTCTTCAGTGATCTCTTGGTTATTTAGTAATGTATTGTTTAGCCTCTATGTGTTTGTGTTTTTTACGATTTTTTCCCTGTAATTGATTTCTAATTTCATAGCATTGTGGTCAGAAAAGATGCTTGATATAATTTCAATTTTGTTAAATTTACTGAGGCTTGATTTGTGACCCAAGATGTGATCTATCCTGGAGAATGTTCCGTGTGCACTTGAGAAGAAAGTGTAATCTGCTGCTTTTGGATGGAATGTGCTATAAATATCAATTAAATCTATCTGGTCTACTGTGTCATTTAAAGCTTGTGTTTTCTTATTAATTTTCTGTCTGGATGATCTGTCCACTAGTGTGAGGTGTTAAAGTCCCCCACTATTACTGTGTTACTGTCAGTTTCCTCTTTTATAGCTGTTAGTAGTTGCCTTATGTGTTGAGGTGCTCCTATGTTGGGTGCATAAACATTTGTAATTGTTACATCTTCTTTGTGGATTGATCCCTTGATCATTTTGTCCTTCCTTGTCTCTTGTAACATTCTTTATTTCGAAGTCTATTTTATCTGATAGGAGTATTGCTACTCCAGCTTTCTTTTGATTTCCATTTGCATGGAATAGCTTTTTCCATCCCCTCACATTCAGTCTATTGTGTCCCTCAGTCTGAAGTGGGTCTCTTGTAGACAGCATATAGATGGGTCTTGTTTTTGTATCCATTCAGCAAGCCTGTGTCTTTTGGTTGGAGCATTTAATCCATTCACATTTAAGGTAATTATCAATATGTATGTTCCTATTACCATTTTCTTAATTGTTATGGGTTTGTTTTTGTAGGTCGTTTTCTTCTCTTGTCTTTCCTACCTAGAGAAGTTCCTTTAGCATTTGTCGTAGAGTTGGTTTGGTGGTGCTGAATTCTCTTAGCTTTTGCTTGTCTGTAAAGCTTTTGATTTCTCTGTCAAATCTGAATGAGATCCTTGCTGGGTAGAGTAATCTTGGATGTAGGTTTTTCCTTTTCATCACTTTAAATATATCGTGCCACTTCCTTCTGGCTTGTAGAATTTCTGCTAAGAAATCAGCTGTTAACCTTACGGGAGTTGCCTTATATGTTATTTATCGTTTTTTCCCCTGTTGGTTTCGATAATTTTTTTGTGTCTTTAATTTTTGCGAATTTGATTACGATGTGTCTCGGCATGTTTCTCCTTGGGTTTAACCTGCCTGGGACTCTCTGCGCTTCCTGGACTTGGGTGGCTATTTCCTTTACCATGCTAGGGAAGTTTTTGAGTATAATCTCTTCAGATATTTTCTCGGGTCCTTTCTCTCTCTCTCTCATCTCCTTCTGGGACCCTTATAATGCAAATGTTGTTGTGTTTAATGTTGTCCCAGAGGTCTCTTCGGCTGTCTTCATTTCTTTTCATTCTTTTTTCTTTATTCTGTTCCGCAGCAGTGAATTTCAGTTTTCTGTCTCCCAGGTCACTTATCCATTCTTCTGCCTCAGTTATTTTGTTATTGATTCCTTCCTAGTGTATTTTTCATTTCAGTTATTGTATTGTTCATCTCTGTTTGTTGGTTCTTTAATTCTTCTTGGTGTTTGTTCTTTAATTCTTCTAGGTCTTTGCTAAACATTTCTTGCACCTTTTCAATCTTTGCCTCCATTCTTTTTCCGAGGTCCTGGATCATCTTCGCTATCATTATTTGAATTCTTTTTCTGGAAGATTGCCTCTCTCCACTTCATTTAGTTGTTTTTCTGGGGTTTTGTCTTGTTCCTTCATCTGGTACAAAGTCCTCTCCCTTTTCGTTTTGTCTGTCTTTCTGTGGTTTTTCTTCCACAGGCTGCAGAATTGTAGTTCTTCTTGCTTCTGCTGTCTGCCCTCTGGTGGATGAGGCCATCCTCCACTGATACTTTTCTAAATAGCATTTTTATTTTTGAAATTATTCCTTGGCTTGAAAGGTGTGTAAAGTTTATACAGCGGGAAACAATAGCATAACTAGTTTTTAAAGTGAATCTGTGAGCCCCAGTTTCCTAGAAAGTGGTTGTCATAGAATCATGGATTCTTAGATTTGGGAAAGACTTTTGCTTGAAAGTGTTTTACAACATCCCTGTGAAGTGGTGTTTCACTCTGCTTTTCTCTTGTTTTCCTTGTATTTTAAATCCATATCTGAACCACTGTTAACAATTACTTTTCCCTTACACCGAGCTCCAGTTTCATAATTTCAACTTTACTAAGTGTGATTCTACTCCATGGGTCTACACTCAAAACATTGTATGATTTACAGTGTTTATATTTTTGTTCCATTACAGATTATTTACTTTAATGTAAAATAGTATTTTGTTCGCAGCTTTTATTTAAAAAGTGGCACTGTTCTCGGTGAAGTATTCTTGGCAGTTGGAAGCAATAGGAATGTATGGGGTTCTTTTGTCCTTGTTAAGTAATGGCACAATGGATCTGTGTTTTACTTAAATATTTTCGTTGTGTAATGCTTACATATTTTTTTCAAGTTGTGCATAGACTAAAAACTTAGGTTTTCAAGCTCTCGTCAATATATTTAAGTAATAGCTATCTCTATTGCAAGTTTTGATAAATTTGCTTACAAATGAGTCTACTGTGAAGACTGGTCCTATTGCCAGTTTTTGCCCTCTCTCCACAAATTTGCTAGATCTTTAAATAAATTTAGGTATTTTGTTTTCACTTCAAGATTACAATTTCAGAATATGTTTAACATAAGATATATAGTTCTCAAAATATACTTAATATGCATATGTCTTATAAAAATTGTCTATTAACTTTTTTTTTTCCAGGGTTCATTGAAAAATCCTTAGTGATATTGACATGTTTCAAGTGACATAAATTAGCCAATGACTCGGAATGATGGATTCCCCGAAGATTGGAAATGGTTTGCCAGTGATTGGACCAGGGACTGATATAGGGATATCTTCACTCCACATGGTGGGGTATTTGGGAAAAGTTAGTGAACTTATTTTTTGCCTCAGTGCAAAGTTGGTTTTTTTCTCTCCTATTTTTAAGACTTAAATTTGGTTTTAATTTTACCAGTTAATTTTTTAAAAATTGTATCTTCCACGGAAATCTTACAGTAATGGCGAAAGATTGTTCTCTGTTTACCTCTCTATGTTTTATTGATATGTAAAAGTAGAAATAAAACATAGACCGTATAGTTTACTATTTGAAAATGTTGAACGTATTTTCAGTGACAGTTGACATTACTTTTTTTCTTGCAGATAAAACTGATGCTATTTTTAACACTTAATGTAATATTTAAAACTAGAATATATTCTTTTTGGAACAATAGCTGTATTAAAGCCTATATGCATTTCTTTTATTTGCTGTCTTTAAGATATCTTGCCAGGACACTTCTAGGTGAAAATTGTACATTTTTTTCTGGTTACTTTTCCATTTAACTTTTTGTAATTTTATACAATCTAGGAATGTCTATATTTTAATTTACTTTTTTTCTCTTTTAGAATTATGATTCATCTAAAGTACCATCAGATGGGTATTGCCCTGCTTGTAGGACGAAGGGAAAGTTAAAAGCCTTAAAGACTTACCGAATTAGTTTTCAAGAATCTGTCTTTTTGTGTGAGGATCTGCAGGTAAAGTATTAATCTTAGATGGTATTGAAGTTTTCGCCTTTTGCTTTTTTCTTCAGTGTTTAAATTTGTACTCATTTTGTAGTTTTTAGATTGTATGTTTTTAATATGTAGTTAGTCTCTAGATCTGTCTGGTATATAATTTTAAATATTTTATTTTGCCACTTGATTTCCTGAGTTACTACATGAAAATGTTTGTTTTTATTGTCATTAGACTTGTGAGAAGAGAGAATATATTTGAAGATTATTTTTTTAAACCTTGTGGAGGTCCTTTTAGCTGTTGTTATTCTCATGTGTTGTTTATTAACTTTGGGACTTATTGAAAAGGTTATTAATCTCTAAATATTATGTACTTAAGGGTCTAAATATCTTAGAATTATAGTAATTTGTACCCACTGGCACAGCTTTTACACAGGAGCTCGTTTAATTCCATAATACTCTATATTTTACTGTACTTGACAACTTATGAAACTCATATACATACTTAATTCTCAAAACTTTGCAAGGTAGGTATTCCCGTGTTATGAATAAGAAAACAGATGCAGAGGGTTTAGGAACACAACATCTTCATGAAGCAGCAGAGCAGTGATTGGAATACAGTCTTCTAATTTCAGATATGTATTATTCCAGGTAAACTAGCAGTTCATTAGAATCACTTGGAAAGCTTAAAAATTTCTGGGTCTCACCTAGATGCTTATTCAATAGAGTTGGCCCAGAATTCTGTAGTTTTATAACTTTTATAAACTGTCTGATGATCAGCCAGTTTTGGAAAATACTAGACTATATTATACTGTTGGTGGTGGGTACTCTTGTTGGGTAACACTTAAAGAAAATTTCAGATATTCTTACAAATAGAAATAATTATTTTTTTGCATTTATGCAATAAATATTTATTTGTGTGTCACCATGTTGGCACTGTTCCAGATGCTAGGATACAGTGAATAAAACAAAAATTTCTTGCTCTCAACAAGGCTATATTCTAGATTGGGAAAGAAATAAAAAAGAAAAGCATACTTTTTTGTGTGAGGTAATGAAAAGTGCTGTAGAGAAAAATAAAGCCACAGGGACTGGAGTATCAGAGAGTGGGTAATTTGCAATTTTAAATAAAGTATAGGGGGAAACTGTTAATTGAGAAAGGGACATTTGAGCAAAGATCTGAAAGAGATGAAAAGGAACAAGTCCTATGGATACCTGAGGAGTGAGCCTTCCAGGTGGGGAGAGTAGCAGATACAAGGTCCTGAGAGAGTGGAGGCTGCCTGTCCATGTTTGTGCTACTGCAGGGAAACCAGCAGAGCTGGATCGGAGTGAGTGAAGCAGAATAAGGGAAGATGGGATGGATCCAGTAAAGCCTTGTAGGCCATTTGTTGGCTTTTACTATGAAATAAAGAACCATAGTAGGGATTTTGGCAGAGGAGTGACATGATCTGATTTTCATGTTGAAAAAAATGTGATGGGCAAGATCTGACGCAGGGAAATGGTTGGAAGGCAGTTGTAGTATTCCAGGGAGAACAAGTAGCGGCCAGGTTGATGAGGCTTGGTTGGATTCTATATGTATTTTGATAGTTAAAAGGATATGCTGAAAGAGTGGGGTACATGGTAGGAAAGGGAGGAATCAAGGATGATCCCCAGATACTTGGCTTGAATAATTGGAAGAATGGAGCTGCCGGTTGCTGAACTGAGAAAGACTGTGGGAAGAGGAAGATCTGGGGGAAAGATGAGGAGATCAGGAGCAATCAAGCTTGAGGCATCTATCTAATAACTGGGTATATGGAGTAAACAGTTGGATCTATGTGTCTGGTGTTAGGTGGAGAGTCTAAGATTGGATATGTACATTTGGGAGTCATTAGCAAACTTACATGAACTTACATGGTTCAGTAAGTAATTGAACCATGAGGCTGGGTGAGTTTACCAAGAGTGTGGATAAAGAGATGCAAAACTGAGCCCTGGAACACTCCAGCATTAAAAAGTTTGGGAGGTGAAGTGGAACGAGCAAAGAAGTGAGAGACATGGAGAGTGAGGTAGGCGTAATCTCAGGAAGGAAAGTATATTGTCCTGGATGTCAAGTGAAAAATATTTAATGAAGGAAGGAATGCTTTACTGTGTATTCCAGTGAGAACTCAAGGTGGCTGAGGACTCAACTCACCATTGACTGGAGTGTCATGGGGGTCCTTGCAGGCCTTGATTAGAGTAGTTTTGGTAAAGTAGTAGTGGTAAAAGCCTGATTGGAGTGAGTGATGAAAAATGGGAGAGGAAGAATTGAGAAATACAGACATGAGGTAGTACCTGGAGGGAAAAGTTTTACTTTTGTTTGTTTTTAAGTTGGGAAAAATAGCAGCATGTTTGTATGCTGGTTATATCCAGTAGAGAGGGAAAAATAAGAGAAAGTGTCGCAGAATTGCTGGAGGGATATCCCTGGAGCAAATGACAGGCTCTATTGCACAATGGGAGGGCTTGACTTTAGGAGACTTGACAGCTCAGCTCACCTGTAACACCAGACTCTACAGAGTTTACTAATTAACTAGCTCAGGATAAAGTTGTAGAATTGTGAGCACTGGAAAGAGAGAGAAATAAAACTTACTGATTCTAGAAGAAAATTACTTTTTTCCCTCTTCTGAACAATATGTGATATTTCAGTAGAGTTCTTTAACCAAGGACTACCAGAATAGAGAAGTCTCTGTTCTCAGAACAGTGGTTTTAACTATTATGGTTAGATGTGTTTCTTGCATTTTTAGTTTTTGAAGCATTCTTTTTTAAGTAATGAGGAAAAAAAAATAATCAAGAATTTCAAGTATACACTTTGCAAATGTAAAAAAAGAACTTTAGAGTAATTATTGATCTTGTTTTTAGAAAATGTTCTAATCATCAGTAAGAGCCCAGTGTATTTTATGAAGTACACTGGTTTACACCAGGAGTCAGCAAACTCTTTGTATATTACCCACTGGCTAAGAGTGATTTTTGTTGTTGTTGTTTTTAATTAAGTAGGGGTGCTGGTGGGATGTGCACACCATGATTTTGACGCTGCTTGAGAATGGTAAAGGGTTTTTTTGCCTTTAAAAAAAAAGTAAAAATTTTTTTAATTGTTAAAAAAACATAAAATTTACCATCTTAACCTTTTTTTTTTTTTTTTTTTTTTTTTTTTTTGCGGTACGCGGGCCTCTCACTGTTGTGGCCTCTCCCGTTGCGGAGCACAGGCTCCGGACGCGCAGGCTCAGCGGCCATGGCTCACGGGCCCAGCCGCTCCGCGGCATGTGGGATCTTCCCAGACCGGGGCACGAACCTGTGTCCCCTGCATCGGCAGGCGGACTCTCAACCACTGCGCCACCAGGGAAGCCATCTTAACCATTTTTAAGTGTACAGTTCAGGAGTGTTTGCTATATTCACATTGTTGTACAACATATCTCTAGAACCTTTTCATCTTGTGAAACTGAAATTCTTTACCCATTGAATAACAACTTCTCCCTGTAGCCCAGGCAACTACCATTCTACTTTGTCTCTATGAATTTGACTACTCTAGGTACCTCATATCAGTGGAATCATACAGTATTTGTCTTTTGTGATTTTACTTAGCATAATGTCCTCAAGGTTTATCCATATTGTCGCATATGACAGGATTTCCCTTTTTAAGGCTGAATAATATTCTGTTGTATGTATATACCACGTTTTCTTTATCCATTTGTTTGTCCATGGACATTTGGTTTGCTTCTACCTCTTGGCTATTGTGAATAATGCTGCAGTGAATGTGGGTGTGCAAATATCTCTTTGAGGTTTTGTTTTCAATTTTTTTGGATGACTCTGAATACAAAATTACTGCTATTGATTTTTAAAGTGTTCTCTGTCTTCTGACATGTGGTAGGACTAAGGAAATAATCTCAGGGTATAAAGTTGAGGGTCAAGTTGTTAGTTGATGGTGATCGCACAGCTAGTTGGTAACAGAAAAATCAAGAACTTGTCCTGTTAAACTAAAGAATTTCGAAGTAAGTACAATATTATGCATATAGTGTTCGCTTGTGTAGAAAATGCTATACTTTAAATGAGAGCATTTCAGTTAGTTGTTGCTGTGAAGTGAACCATCTCAAAACTTAGTCACTAAAGTAACTTAATGGCTTCACTTATGATTCTGTGGGTTGACAAGGCAGTTCTTACACTTCACATACTGTTGTCTGGGACACCTAAAATGTACACATGGCAGGCTGTGGATTCTAGCTGCCAGCTGGGAACTTAACTCAGGTAGTCAGCCAGGATCTCACTTCTTTTCCATGAGGGTCTCTCGGTGAGGCTAATTGGGACCCTTACAGTGTGATGGCTGGGACTAAGAAAGATTGTACAGAAAGAAGGCTCCAAGAGGGCAAGCCCAATAAGCCAGTGCTTATTGAAGCATGTGCATCCTGGTTGCTAATGTCCCATTAAAGCTAGTCACGTGGCCAAGCCTGCGGCTGTGTGGCAGGGGGCTGACTGTACAAGGGCATGAGTATCTGGAGGTATAGTTCTTTAGTTCACTAGAGGCCACCAAGGGAGCAATCTACCATAGTTGTGTAGAAGAAAGCATATTTTAAATGAGGGCACACGGTATGTAGATTTCTTGCATTTGTCTTATAAAATATTTTACTAGTTTTTACACTTAGGGAAAATTCATCGATTATTTTAGTGATTTGTTTACTCTTGATATTTGCCTGAAATTGTGTTCATGCATGGTGAAGTTATTAAAATTCAGCCAGTTTGATTCTTAGCCCCAATATGGGTGTAAAGTTGATATGCTGATGTGCTCTCAGATTAATACTCAGTTTCAAAACTGAGAAACAATGCAGATTACTCTGTGCAACTTTTTTGGTTTGAAAATACTTTTCTAGTTTTTAATGCTATGCAGTGTACCTGTCTTAAAAAGAATAATACACTCATAAAATGTTGGAATTTTTAATTCACTCAACATTAGATTCTTTATTAAAGCAAAATTATGTATGTTTTCCTTGCTAGCTTACTCTAGAGTAACTCAGATTAAACCCTTGATTGTTCAGATTAACTAGGAAAAATTACTCTTTTGGGGATGAAATTTTTGATTAAATAGCTGTTTATCCCTGGTTCCTTCAAATTTAGATTGATAACATTGTATACCCTCTCATGTCAAGTTAATGCTAAAATGTTATACATATTTTTCATGGCATAGAATCTGTGAAGTTAAAGCTTGAGCTTATTTGAATTTTTAGTTTTTGTTATTTTTTTCTTTCTAGTGCATCTATCCGTTGGGCTCTAAATCACTTAATAACTTAATTACTCCCGATTTGGAAGATTGTCACACTCCAAATAAGCCTCAAAAAAGAAAGATCGTGGAAACCAACTATAAAGAGTCACCTCTTTTAGCAAATTCCAAAAAGACTAAAAATCATAATGGTATTGATGGTGAACAGGTTTTGAACAGTAAACATAATGAAGAAGAGTATGATGAAACCTCATCAGACTCGCCTGGTTTACTGCACGGTGGTCAACAGAATCCGATTAGGACAACTGATTCCTTGGAGCAGAATGAGAGTTTGGAAGCTGATATTATTGACATGGCTGCTGAAGAAGATTCTACTATGGTTGATGTTTCTGGAACTGGAGGGACTGCCCCTCAAAATGAAGGATGCACATCTGAACTGGAAATGCCGTTGGAGAGCAAGCATACCTCATTTTGCCAGACTTCATGTGTCCAGTGGAAAAACGCACATGCTCTCTGTTGGTTAGACTGTATCCTGTCAGCATTGGTGCACTTGGAAGGGCTGAAAAACACTGTGACTGACCTATGCTCTAAAGAGGAGTCTGTGTTCGGTCAGTTGTTTACCAGGTATAATCAAGCCAATGAGTTTCTGCACACCAGTCAGTTGGATGGAGTTAAAGGTTAGTAATAACATTTTATTTCTCTTCAATTTTTAAAGAGGTTAATGTTGAACGTTGTCTTGTAGCACGCGAAAAGATGCCATCAGTAACTTTTGTTTTACGTAGAACCTCGGAGCAAGGAGCACAGGGACCGAGTCTGTCATGAAGCTTGAGTGAACACCAGTTGTGTTATCATGACTGCCCAAAAGGCAGTCTTTTTCAAAAACTGAGAGTAAAGAATAAAGAGGCTATGGCTGTATCTTAGCTGTCAGGGTAAATGGTGGTCACCATAGAGTACATCAAAGTACAACTTTAAGTTTTTGAGTTGCTGTAAAGCAGAATAAAGAAGTAAATACAAACCATCCATAATCCCACAACTCCCCAAAAATCTCTTTTCACAGTGAGGGCTATATTTTTGTTTTCTATAAAATAGGATACCCATGAACCCAAGATAAATTAAAATATTTCCAGTGACTTGCATCTACCTATGTGTTCCTCCACATCCCATCATCTACCTCTCCCAAAGTTAATCATTATCCTGAAATACATTATATCGTTTCTTGTTTTTTAATAGTTTTTCCTACATATATATGGCTAAGCAATATATTGCCTAATTTAATGTTTTGAACTTTATAAAAAAAAGACATACTGTACAGTATTTCTTCTGGGACTGTTTTTTCTTTTTATAAAGATTTATCTACGCTGCTGCTTGTATTTGTGTTTCGTTGATTTTTGTTGCTATATAATATTTCCAGTTCGTAAGTATATCAGTCTGTAAGTACATAAGTGTATTTATTCATCTGTCATTCGGTTGTTTTTTGCAATTGTAAATACTGCTGCTGTGACTATTCTTAGGCAAGTCTCCTGGGGCACAAGAGTTTTTCTTGGGTATACCATAGGATAGGCTCTGAGTTCAGATTTACTAGATAATGGCTAATGGTTTTCCAAAGTGGTTGTACCAGTCTACTCCCATTAGCAATGCAGAAGAGATTTTCCTAATCCATATTTCCTCCCTTGGTTTTTTTTCACACGTGGTGATTTTTGCAATTTGAATGATATAAAATTGTTTGTGGTCTTGATTTGCTTTTCCCAGATTTTAAAGAGGTTGAACAGCTCTTTGTATGTAGACTGACCCTCTGTTCCCTCTGTGAAGCCTGTTTGTGTCTTATCCCTGTTTGTTGTATTGTCATGTTCTTATTGATTTGTGAGTTTTTATATGTCCTTGTTGCTGTATTTATTCAGACAGGTTACTGAATCTCCCACTTTGCATCTCATGTTTCTACTTTTTTAAAGATATCTTTTGATGACAGAAATTATTAATCTTTCCTTTTATAGCTAGTAATGTCTGTGGTTTTAAAAAGAAATGTTTCCTTTCTCCAAGATCAGAAAGTCATTTACCTCTGTTTTCACTGAGAAGTCACAGAGCTTTGCTTTTTACATGGAAATTCTTAGTTCAACTGGAGGTAATTGTGTCTGGTATGTGGTAATGTTTCATTTTTTTCCATTGCATAGCCAGTTTTTCTAGCTCCACCTTTTTCCTCAATTGATCTGCCATGCCCCCTTTGTCATATAACATTCTATGTATGTGTGCAGCTGTTCCTTAACTCTGTTTTGTTTTCTTGGTCACTTTATCTGTCCCTGCACCAATACCACACTATTTTAATTATTAGGGCATTTTAGGTCTTGCTATCCTCATCTTTATTCAACTTGACTTTGATCATGCAATCTTTTATATAGATCTTATACATTGCTTCTCCATTGTTGACTATTTTTCTGTCTCTGTACCAATGCCATACTCTTTAATTATTATGGCTTTTGGGGTTTTGGTATCTGGTAGGCGGAGAATCCTAACCTTTATGCAGTTTGACTTCCGTTGTGCAACAGTTTACTTTATTAGTATACTCTTATACATTGTTTCCCCATTGTTAACCATTCAGGCTACTTACCATTTTTTTTTTGCTATTATGTGTAAATACCATGGCAGATATCCCTGTATCCTTTGAATCCATTGCTGATTATACCCTAGAAGGGATGTTAAAATATTTATATAAAGAGTAGCCCCCACTCGCTGCAACTAGAGAAAGCCCACGGGCAGCAGCAAAGACCCAACACAGCCAAAAGTAAATAAATAAAATAACTAAATTTATATTAAAAAAAAGAAGGGGATCCCCTTGGGGATCCTTTAAAAAAAAAAAAGAGTCTTTCTAAATGGCTTTCCGGAAGGGTTATACCAACATAATAGTTCCATTTTCATATGTAGAAATAAACATCCCAGAACACTCTTATCACCTTTGCGTAGAAACGTTTAAAAAGTTGTAATTTTTTTAGATAAAATGTATTTTGTTTCAATTTGAGTTTCTTTGAGATTGAAGTTTTTTGCAATTTTTAAAATTCAGTTTCTCACAAGCATATTTGCTTTTGCCTTTTCTCTTTATTCCTGTTTTGTATAATTATAGAAACCCCAGTACTGAGTTGGTGGCAGTTGTTTGTTGTAAAAGAACATACCTCATTCAAATTTTGACTTGAATATTAAATTAATATTAACTTTTAATTTTAATATTATATTAATTTTTTACAAGATAATTGTAGTTTTTACAATATAGTTGTAATTAACATTTGTTCAAGCTACATTACTTTGGATTGTAAGTTTTCTCTTTTCTTCAGTGTGGTCAAATAACAAAAATTCTGGTTAATGCTTACTTCATATTACAGAAGACTCCAGATGTTTTCATAGTGAAACATATAAGCAGAGTGTGATCAGGCTGTATGAATTATTTATTCGTAAGAGATTTGAGTGAAAAAATCTACTTGTAGCTTAAAAGTAACTAGAGTCAGATGCATATGGCGGTTTTTATTCAAAATAATTTTCTTATTAATCTTAGGTAGTTTTCTGCCAGAGTAATTGCATCTTGAGGACTTTTACCCTAAAGAAATGATGAAAAACATGGACAGGTGTGTGCCCAAAGATGTTTAACATGATAGTATTTATAATAGTAAAAAAGAAACAACTTAAATGTCCAGCAATAGGGAATGGCTAATAAAACTATGGTTCAGTCAGAGTGTAATTAGTAGCTTGCAAATTTTTTAATGAAGCAGATTTCTGTAAAAAAAAAAAAAGCAGAATGTAGAATTGTATGAAATGTGATGATGTCATTGAAGGCCCTTCAAAAGACATAGGAGGAGGAAAACATACCAAATGTTAGTTTGGGAAATAATCATGACTGTATTAAGACTCCTTATAAATTTGTCTGCTCCTTTGATCTAGTTAAGCTCAGTAAAAGTTAAACAGAGAGGATTAAATGATTAGATTTTGTCTCTAGCATAAGTAATAATTTTATGAAAAGAGAGAGCTTCAGCTGTTTCAGAGATGGGCAAAATATCTGAAAGTGTGGCTCTTTAGCTAGGCCTGAAAGACTTGCACTGAGATTTTACTCAGGCAGAATGATGCTGAGCCAGGCAGTCAGTACTAATGATATTGTGCTGTTAACACATATTGAGGGAATATATGGTATACCACAGAGAGAGGAAGAAGAATTAAGGAATTTTGTATTTTCCATTTTTGTCTCTGCAAAATTTGTTGACTCTGGTAAAACTTTCATTTTGGTAATGTCTTAATTGTCTGTAGAAAGAAATAGGTTGATGAGAAATTGATAATGTTCTGTATTTTATTATCAGATGGAGATTGTATAAAACTTCCTTCTGAAATATTTGCAAAGATAGAGACCTGTCTGAATGAAGTCAGAGATGATATTTTTATTAGGCTTCAGCCTCAGCTTAGGTGTACATTAGGTAAGTAATTTATGGAATTTAATTGTATTACTCGTCTACCATAAAGACATACTTACATCAAAAGGAAATATAATACTGTTTTAGTACTTGGGATGATCAGATTCTTGGAATCTGATCATTTAATCACTGGTTAAATCATTCGTGGATGGAGGTGTTCTATATAAGTATGCAGGCATGTGTTCCACCCCTTCATCGTGGATGCAGTTCTCAGAACCAGCTGAATACTCATGGGATACACCATCAGTTGCTTTCCCAATACTGTCCCCCAGTAGACTACTCCAGCGTTTTCAACCTTGACTGACTGTGCATTAAAAAAGCACCTAGGAAATTTAAAAGTAAATAACTAGTGCCTGGGGGCCCATTATATAAGAATCTCAGGATGGAGTTCAAGTATCAGTAATTTTTAGAAGCCTCCATGTGATTCTTATGGATGGATGGGGTTGAGAATCTCTGGTCTACACCAACCATAGTAATTCTATTTCCCCTGCTAGTGATTGGTTTAGGAATGGACATATGGTACAATTTTAGCCAATGGGATATGAGGAGATATATACTGATGACCTTTTGGGAAAGTTTTCTTACTTTTAAAAAAGGGCATAAGAATGAGACCTGCTTTGTCCTCTATGAATTGTCTTCTGGCCTCTGGGAGCAGAGTGGAACAGGGGCGCTAGAGTCTCCAGGTCTTTATAAATTTTTTTTTGTATTGCAAAAAGGAGCTGGTAGTGATTTTTTTTTATTTTTTGAGGGGGTGCCTTTTGTTTTATTTTTCTTTATGTTTTATTTCTCTTTATCTTTTTTTTTTTTTTTCCTGCCACGTGGCTCGTGGGATCTTAGTTCCCCGACCAGGGATTGAACCCAGGGCCCCAGCAATGAAAGAGCTGAGTCCTAATCACTGGACCACCAGGGAATTACCATATTTCTCTTTATCCTTTTTTTTTAAGTCTATTTTTTAAAACTTTATTTATTTATTTTATTTTTGACTGTGTTGGGTCTTCGTTGCTGCACATGGGCTTTCTCTAGTTGCAGCGAGCGGGGGCTACTCTTCATTGCCTTGCGCGGGCTTCTCATTGAGTGGCTTCACTTGTTGCGGAGCACGGGCTCTAGGCGCGTGGGCTTCAGTAGTTGTGGCTCGCGAGCTCAGTAGTTGTGGCACGTGGGCTTAGTTGCTCTGCGGCATGTGGGATCTTCCCGGACCAGGGCTCAAACCCTGCATTGGTAGGCGTATTCCCAACCAGTGTGCCACCAGGGAAGTCCCTCTCTTTATCCTTGTATTAACTCTTCAATTAATATTGTGTTGTAGTAGCTGAATATAGGATACTCCTATTAGTATAATACTCCTGTTAAATTATGTAAAATATCAATGCCTTCAAGTTTTTCTCTCAAGAAGTGGCATTTATTTCATCAGACCCAGATAGTGTATCTGGAAGCAGTGTCTTTTTTGCATGGTTGTATCCCCTATTTCTTTGTCCCACAGTTCTGTCCCCTAGTTTTACTATTTTGTTTTTCATGAACTCCTACATATATAAGTTGACTCTGTTCTTATAAACTGATTTTCCATATGCCAGATCTTTGGCATTGCCTCCTCTAGGACTAAAGGGCTATTCTAATTCATCATCAGGTGGGATCTCAGATGGGACGAATATTCTTTTATTCTTTTTATCAAAGTATGGTTTACATACAGTAAAATCCTTTTCAAATGTATACAGTTGTGTTACCATTTCCACAATCAAAATATAGAACAGTTCTATCACCATGAAAATGTTCCCCTGGCTCCTTTATGGTCAGCCCCTTTCCTTACCCTCAATCACTGATCTGTTGGGTGGATACTCATTTCAAAGGAGGCTTTTTCATAAGATTGCCAGAGTGTAGACTGAGGGGCTCCCGTGTTGCATTTTGCAGGTATCATTTCCCTCCTAGAGTGACCTGAGATGTTTTATTCAGGTTCCCTACTCCAGTTCCCAATTGAATTAAAGAGTGGTTTCTTCCCCAGTCTGAATCATCACTCTTCTCATCCCTGCTAATTGTAGTTACAAGGTGGCGTCTTGCTCCATTGCTACCTGGGATTTGGTCTGGGATTTGTAAATTTTGTGCACTCATAGCAGTTGGGCAAGCATACAGCTCTTCCAATACAGTAGAGTCCTCTCGTTTGTGTTTGTACTGCTCAGTCAGCAGTGAGAGGTGCTACATTAGAGGCTAAGATCTTACTAATGAAATCTTTGTTTCAGGGAGCACTTTAGAGTCTTACAACGTATGTGTCCTCATTCTGAATATTAACGTGTATTTTAAAGTACTAAAGAAAGAGAAGTAGAATCTGTATTGACCCGGAACGTTTGTTAAATTTTTAAGATCAGCCAGCCACTTCCTCATTTTGATTATTGTTTTTAAAAAACGCATTGTAAACTGTCCTCTCTGCTCTCCCTCCCCACAGTTTAAGAAATATAGCATTACAAATATAACTGAAGCCCTTTTTGTACTCTTCCCCAATTCTTCCTTACCTCCCCACAAAGGTAACTACTATCTTCAATTTGGTGTTTTCTTTCCCTCTAATATGTATATTTCTTTCTTTTTTTAAAAAAGGTTAAAGCTGTTATTGTATGGTTTCGACTTATTTATGTAAGTGTAAAGAGTAACTTAGCCTTTGAGTGTAGTGTACCAGTGTAAGGATAGACAGACCACTAGAACAGAATAGAAAGTCCAGATCAGAACCCTCCCCGTTTGGTTACTTCATAACCATGATGGAGGTACTGATGCAGGTAGGTGGGGAAAGAAAAGGCCATCCAGGAAACGGTGCTTGGGCCAGTAGTTTCCTGATACAGGGGGAAAATTAGATCCCTACTTCACACCGTAATTAGAAAAAAACTTTAGCATATTTAAAAGCCTAAACATGAAAAGCAGAGTTGTAAAACTTTGGAGGAAAATATAGGTGAATATTTCACCACTCAGTGGGGAAGAATTTCCTAAATAAGATACATAAAGTAAGAGATTGGTGACTGTGATTACATTAAAGTTTAAAACCTCTGGGCAAAGATAGAACAAAGAAATAATACCCAGGATATCTTACAAAGAACTCCTGTACATCAGTTTAAAACAAAAACTGATAGAAAAATGGCCAGAAAACATTAAGGAGAACTTAACAGAAGAGGAAACTTGAATAGCTAGACAGCAAGGAGTCACTGGAAGGTTTGCATCCTGGTAATAAACGAAGGTACTTTAGGGCAATATGCAAACTAGGTACTAGGTCCCCATCTTTCAGTGGTCTGACTTTTGATTTTTTGAGTTTACAATGATGTTAAAGAGATAAATGCATTCAGTAGAAACTGCACTTGGAATTTTGATCTTTTCCTGGGCTAGCGGTAAGTGGTGTGATACTCACTTGTGATGCTGGGCAGTGGCTGCAGCTCCCAGCCAGCCATGCAGTCGTGGGGTAGACAACTGATATACTTACAACCATGCTGGACCCAGACCACCGTTCTGTTTTTCACTTTCATTATAGTAAATTATATGAGATATTCAATACTTTATTTTAAAATAGGCTTTGTATTCCATGAGTTTGCCCAACTGTAGTCTAATGTTAAGTTTTCTGAGCACGTTGAAGTTAGGCTGGGTTAAGCTGTGATATTCAGTAGGTTAGGTGTATTAGATGCATTTTTGACTTAATGATATTTTCAGCTTACAGTATAAAGGTTTATTGGGACCTAACCCTATCATAAGATGAGGAAGATCTGTAGTTGGGTAGGAGTTGGGGATAAGGTACTAGAGGCAAAGAAACCACTTAACTAGGGCTTCCCTGGTGGCGCAGTGGTTAAGAAGCCGCCTGCCAATGCAGGGAACATGGGTTCGAGCCCTGGTCCAGGAAGATCCCACATGCCGCAGAGCAACTAAGGCCGTGCGCCACAACTGCCGAGCCTGTGCTCCAGAGCCTGCGAGCCACAACTACCGAGCCCGCGTGCAACAACTACTGAAGCCCGCAAGCCTAGAGCCTGTGCTTCGCAACAAGAGAAGCCACCGCAATGAGAGGCCCACGCACCGCAATGATGAGTAGCCCCCGCTCGCCGCAACTAGAGAAAGCCTGAGTGCAGCAACGAAGATCCAGTGCAGCCATCAATCAATCAATCAATCAATCAATCAATAAACCACTTAACTAATTTAGGCTGGAGGTTCTAAAAATTAGAATTAGGTATTGGCATTATATGTTCTCTAATAGGATGCTTTATACCCATAAAACTTATAATCAAAGGAAAAATAATTAAGATCAATTTAGGAGCTATGTAAATTATCTAAAATGATCTGTAATCATGTAACTTATTTAACTGTGTTTTGAGCTCTTTCATGATACTTTGATTCATTGAAAACTTCATGTATTTTTAGACCTAAAGATTCTATGTCCTCAAGGAATACAAATTATTTACTTTTTCACTTAATATTTAGTTACAATAGAGTAAGCATTTAAAGGCTGGTAACTAATTACAAACTCATGCTGTACTATGCACTGTTTATGCATATGATGTTGCATATGTTCATTTTTAGGAGATTGATTTGTATTTATTTCTGTTTATAAAAAATATTTTATGTTTTTTGTACAAAAATAGCTGTGGGACTGCACCACAAAGGTGACTATTAAAATAGCCTTTGTGACCACCGATATTTATAGAGTGTGCTTAGGCAATAAAACCCACTACACTGTTCTGCCTTTTGGTCATGCCAAGGTGACTCCTCCTGGCTGTGTTCCAGGCAACTGTAGTTCCAGGCCAGGGGGAGAACTGAACCACGGAAGTGAGACTGTCCCAGGGGAGGGAGAGGATAGAAGAACTCAGGTTCTTTCTCAGGCCAAATCAGTAAGGCAGCATCTAAGCTCCCTGGAGGACAGGAAGGAGAGAAACCAATTGGAGGATGAATGTAAGAGGAGAATCTAAATCCTCCTCCTAACTCGCTTGCTGGTCTCTAAATTGGAAAACAGAATCCACAGTTGGGTTTTTGTTTTAATGACAACAAAATTCAGATCTTCTTTAGCCTTAAAGTTGTTGAAGTTTAATTTTAATTGTTAAAAGATTAAGAAGAGTAGTAGGTAAGGAGTCTGGAGATTTGAATCTGGTCCTCTAAGCCTGGTTTGTCATGCCCTCACCACATGTAGAACAAGAGAGTCAGAATAGAGATGGCTTTTTAATGGTTTTGTCCAGCTGTGAAATTATTATCTTACAGTGTTTCACCAGTCATATTACTTTTAGTATCTGTACCAAACAAACCTGTACATATTTTTGCTTTGTTTTTATAATACTCTAGGGCTGTTATAGTTCTGAGGATATTTTTTCCCTGAGAAAACCTAAAAAGATCTGAGGAGACAGTATGAGCCTTTTCTATCTTTTGTCTTAAGAAGTTTTCATAAGTGTCCACCAAGACAAATGAAAGATACTGAGTGTTAATTAAATCTTTACGATGGACATTTTTAGAAAATGCTTTGAAAACTTCCCTTGCCCAACTGTGAATAACTTACTCTGTCATACATGCATATTCACATATATTCACACTGTGAATATAGTGAGAAAAGACAACAATTTGTAATTTTGGCTTATCTTTTTTCAGTTAATTATGAGCAATAATTTTTTTTTTTCTTCTTCAAGGTGATATGGAAAGCCCTGTGTTTGCATTTCCCCTGCTCTTAAAAACAGAACCCCACGTTGAGAAGCTCTTCACATATTCTTTTTCTTGGAATTTTGAATGTTCACACTGTGGACACAAATATCAAAACAGGTTAGTTTTTCTATTTTTTAAAATGGATTCATTCTATTGAAAATGGCTCCAAGTAATAAAATTTGAAGAAAACTTGCTTCCACTTGTAGCACTGCTCTCTCTACCCTTGATAAAATTTCCCACCATATATTGAAGTTTCTCCACCATTAAGGTTTAAAGGAAAATTTTGAGCCTCAGAAATTGCAATTTGCTTGCTTCTTCATACTAGAAGAGTACAAAAAAAAAAGTGGTTTGATAGATTACTAGAAGGCATTTTCTTATGAAGTTCTTTAGTGGGAAGTGGGGACAAATGGGAACGTAGCGTGTTCCCCTGTACTCCCCTCCCCTCTGGATTCCCCGCTGAGTAAGAATACCTCTTAGAATTCTTTGAAAAACTATGTGTGTTTTGTTTACTCCAATATTAGGGACTAGGGCTTTTTGTTTGCTTGTTTTTAACATCATGGCAACTTGATTTTAGGCTCCCAGAGTCTGATAGCAGTCCTCAGAGGTAACTTATGCTTTCCCATTCCTTTCCTTAGTCCCATGAAAGACCAGCCATCACCAGAATCCTTCCACACGTGAGCTGTTTCAGCCATACTTTCTACTTCCCTGATGCCTCTAGGTGAGGATTAGAGGGATCATGATTGTTGTACATGACCCTGAGATTGGTACTTGGGAGGAAGCATGGAGAAGAAAGAAGCTGCAAATTTATTTTGCCTCCATACACCTGCCACATAAATAAGGAGAGAAATTAAGTTTTAGAAGAGGAGTCAGGGAGAGACAGTTCATCAGGCATGATACCCTCACTTTGTCCATATATGAGAAAGTCTCTGGCTGGCTGGCCTTTCCTCTTTTCTGAAAGTCAACTATTAGTAGACTAGAAAATTTGGAGTCTCTCAAAGTTATTAAATAAAACTATAAGAGAAAAGTATTGCTTTAGATATCCATTATCTTAATTGAGATTATTTTTAGGTATTTAGGGATCAGTTGAGGAGAGTTGGGACTGAGAGAACACTCTAGGGAATCCAAGCTACAGAACCAGGAAACATTTGTATTTTCACGAGTTAGCTCGAAAGTACTAGAACAGAGTGAGAATTAGCATTTCACTCATACCTAAGACTTAAATAATTTTGTGTGAGTATGAGAACAAATACCTGCTACTAGGTCTTCTGTCATTAATTTCTATAAATTATCTTTCTCCTCATTTGACAATGTGAAAACTGAAGCTTTAAAGGGGTTAAATTGATGCCCAAGGTGACATGCTAGTAAGTGGCAAAATTCAGGCTTAGGTTTTCTGTTCTCTAAGACTTTCCTGCTCACTGTGGTATACTGCCTAATCACCACCTGGATTTTAAATAATATAAATAACATATACAAGTCTGATGATTAAAATCAGCTTCATTATAGCTTTTCCAAAATCCCCATCTCAGTTGTTTGACAGCTTTTCATTGAGCATATCCTATGTGCCAGGAACTCAACAGAAGTAATCTTTATTCTGGCCAAATTCAGACCAGTTAGTTAGGGAAATAACGTGAACATAATAGGGGACCGGTGACTTAGTCGTTATTTTGATCTGTTGGCTTTGAATACAAGGTGGATAAGAGCATTTTGGAGCTGTATAGAAAAAACTCTGAGAGCTCAAGGCACAGAAGCCACCAGCCACTTGGGTTTGCCTTTTTTTTTTTTTAAGTTCTTTGTTCTAAAAGTAAAAGGAGTTATAGAGGAAAAGCTAAAATGAAGTGGCATATTTTACTAAAAGCATTTTCACTGAATCTGGTGGAAGAATACCCAGCAAACTCATTCATTTTTGTGCTGCTGTTTTTAGTGCCAGTTGAACAGCTTTTACTTAATTTAGAAGATATGTTCTGGAGGCAGTTAAAAACATGGTCTTTGGAGTTGGACTCCCTGAATTCCTGTCTCAAGTCTGTCATTTATCATCTGATGTATTTCACTTTCCTCATCTGTAAAATGGGGATAAGAATAGTACCTGCCACTTCGATTTGTTTGGTACGTGAGTGCTTAGCACAGTGACTTGTACATAGTAAGTGCTCAGAAATGTTAGATGTCATGTGGAGCATTAACACTTATTTGCTGAGACAAACTCCCTTTTATTAACTAAGAAATAGGAGCCTTTACTTCACGTTTATCTTTGAGAACTAAGAATTTAGCAGAAATATAGTCAGTGTATTTGTTGATACCTCTGTGTGGCTTTGCTTTTAAAATGTTAGCTTCCCTGATCTATTTTTAACGGCCTGTGCTTATCTCACTTATGATTTACCGGTATTTGTTACTGTTTAGAGAAGAAAGTGGTGTCTCCTAGATAATAAGTGATTTTGCTCTTTTAAGATACTACTAAAGCGAATCTAGTTGAGGTACAGTGTGCATCTGTAAAGATCATCTTTTTAGATGCCTATTGCTATTAAGTATTCAGGCTAAAGTGCAAATTTAGAACTTGTGTAAACTGTGAAAACAATATTCTTTCACAGCTGATATTCTTATATTTTAAGGATCAAGATAATTAAGTGGTCTCTATTCCTGATTGTATATATTTGTAAGTGCCCCTTTTTGTTTTAGGTTGTCAATAATAGATAGCCAGATTATGAATTTTTTGAGTAAGAGATGAGCTCTTAATAAATTTGAAAGCCTTAGAACAGTGGTTCTCAACTATTTTTTGAGAAAAAAATTTTTGGGGGCGGGGGGGCTATTTTTGTCCCATGGGACATTTGGCAATGTCTGGAGATAACTAGTTGCTACAGCTGGAGGCTGTTACTGGCATCTAGTGGGTAGAGGCCAGGGATGAGGCCACATATCCAGCAATGCACAGTACTGTGCCCCACGGCAAAGAATAACCCAGTGCAAAATAGCAATGGTATTGCTCTTGAGAAACTCTGCCTTAACATTTTCTTCATCTCATAGCTGAAAAACTATAGGTAATTAATGTGGAGAGTCCTTAAAAGAGCTTTACTAGAGTAGGGTTCGGGAGGAACATTGATATATTGATTTGAGGGAATAGGAAAGTATGAATAAACAAATAAAGAAAAGTACCTTTTTATTTTAAATGTTGATTGAGTTAACATAAATGAATTTAACTTAATCAAAGTTTTGTCTTCTTTTTTTATAGATGTATGAAGAATCTGGTCACCTTTACAAACGTCATCCCTGAGTGGCACCCAGTTAATGCTGCCCATTTTGGTCCATGTAACAATTGCAACAATAAGTCACAGATAAGAAAAATGGTATTAGAAAAGTGAGTTTAAATTGCACTACTATTTTTAGAACAAAATGAAGGTGGATTTACTTTTTTTTTTTAATGTGTAGAATTGAAAGTGATGACTACAACCTACTTTCAGAAGTTTGAGTTAATGTATGTTTGTGAATTGCCAGAATGCTTCTCTCTATCAGGAACTCTGGCCAATAAGCAAGCTGTTTAGGCGACATACCACTGCAGAGCTGACTTAGGGTGATTGTCTGACCCCACTGTCCTACTTACTGTCTTACCTTCTTTTGCCTTTTTTCTCTCTTTAAGGATATTAAACTTGCATTTTTCTCACCTCTGCCAAGTGCCTGGAGTCATTAGAATTCTGGAATGTCCTTAATCTAGTTTCAAGAACTAAGATGATTCAAAGATGAGCCATAGGCTCATCTGTCTGAATTTCCCTCTTCTTCCAGACCTCGGCCTGCTAATTCCTCATCCTTCTGTAAGCTTTCTGCTGCCCCTGAGCAGATGTATCATTTTTGTATTTTGCCAGCTCTTCTATTTTTTCCTCAGTGGGAGGACTGTTCAGAATTATCTTTGCCAGTGTTATCAGAGCCCCATATCTTTAAAAACTCACAGGTAAATTCCGTTTTAGGCAGTTTGTCTCTCTTTTGTTAATACACTCACGCACATACCTCCTCTTTAACCTTTGCTTTCAGTTGCCCTTATCTCTACATAAAGGAAATGTTTTGAGTTTTAATTTGATGTAAAAAGAACCAGTGACATTAACCTTTTCTTAACCTTTTTCTGATGCCCTTGGATGTACCAAGAAACCTCTCAGAATCTTTCCTAAAGGTTTATTATCATCCAAGTAATAAATTCTCAGTTAATCTAATAGTGCCAAGACTTAAAAGGAAAAAAGAGCAGTGCCACTCCTACCCCATCTCCAGGCATCTGCTTTTTTTTTTTTTTAATTTTATTTATTCATTTATTTAATTTTTTAGCTGCATTGGGTCTTCGCTGCTGCACACGGGTTTTCTCTAGTTGTGGCGAGCGGGGTCTACTCTTTGTGGCAGCGCGAGGGATCCTCATTGCGGTGGCTTCTCTTGTTGCAGAGCCCGGGCTCTAGGCACCTGGGCTTCAGTAGTTGTGGCTTGCGGGCTCTAGAGTGCAGGCTTAGTAGTTGTGGCACACAGGCTTACTTGCTCCACGGCATGTGGGATCTCCCCAGACCAGGGCTCGAACCCATGTCCTCTGCATTGGCAGGCGGATTCTTAAGCACTGCGCCACCAGGGAAGCCCCAGGCACTCTTCCTTGTGGTGCGTGGGCTTCTCATTGTGGTGTCTCTTGTTGCGGAGCACGGGCTCTAGGTGCACGGGCTTCAATAGTTGTGGCACGCAGGCTAAGTACTTGTGGCTCTCAGGCTCTAGAGTGCAGGCTTAGTAGTTGTGGCACACAGGCTTACTTGCTCCACGGCATGTGGGATCTCCCCAGCCCAGGGCTCGAACCCATGTCCTCTGCATTGGCAGGCGGATTCTTAAGCACTGCGCCACCAGGGAAGCCCCAGGCATCTGCTTTTTAAACCTTTAAGGTAGTATTTACTTTGAGATTTCAAAACAGTGTACTTATTCCACCTTTATATAGTCTTCTTTTATAGTAGTTGAGGACTAAGGGCTCTTACACCAACACCTGGGCCCCGTCTCTATTTAACCTCTCCCTGTCCTTCCAATATAATTACATTTTTGGTTAAATCAGTGCTTCAGTACTTATTGTTTATTATGAATATGCATATATTCCCTCTCCAGCCAAGCAGGATACGTGGTTATGTTTCATTTCTTTTATAACTCTTTAGTTTTCCTGGAAGTATTAATTGCCTGTGTTTTCACTTGCTTTGTTATATATACATTGTGATTTTTTTCCCAAATTCTTCAAATACCCGTTAATAAATTTTCTAAACACTCAAACGCTTCACAGTTTTTTAAGTTCTCCTCCCCCTTTTTGTCTGGAAACCTCTCTTCTGGCTACCTTTTATCCTTCTGCTCCAGGGTTCTAATCTATGCTGGTTCCTCCCTGGGTCTGCTGCATGGGAGTCTTCTTTGTTTTTTCTTAATAAATTTATTTATTTTATTTATTTATATTTGGCTGCGTTGGGTCTTCGTTGCTGCGCGGGGGCTTTCTCTAGTTGCGGCGAGCGGGGGCTACTCTTCGTTGCGGTGCGCGGGCTTCTCATTGCGGCGGCTTCTCTTGTTGCGGAGCACGGGCTCTAGGCGGGCGGGCTTCAGTAGTCGTGGCACGTGGGCTTCAGTAGTTGTGGCTTTTGGGCTGCGCAGGCTCAGTAGTTGTGGCGCACGGGCTTAGTTGCTCCGCGGCATGTGGGATCTTCCTGGACGAGGGCTCGAACCCAGTTCCCCTGCGTTGGCAGGTGGATTCTTAAGCACTGCGCCACCAGGGAAGTCCCGGGAGTCTTCTTTATACACACTTGTGGTCACTATCTCAGTATTCAGCCCAGGGCCTTACCCCTGTCTTCTTCTACATCTGTTGCCTATCAATATTGAGTCTTTAGGGGTTCTTTGGGGGCATATAAGCTCTTGTCATCAGTATCCTCACTCTGTAGCAATCACTACATTCATCACTTCATTCATTCTGCTAAATTACCATTTTTCTGTTTGCTTTTTGTCTTCTAAGTATTTATTGTCTTCTCGTTTGCTCATGTGTCCTTTCCCTTTTTTTGTCCTTTTGGTTTATTACCTTTTTTTGTCCTTTACTATCATTTGATAGCATTTGATTGGGGAGACAGTGGAGATATCTTTAGCCAAGAGTCCATAGGCTGTCTGGGGTCCAAGCTTTGAGATTTAAGTCTTGAGGGAATCCCCCCGCACCGACCCTTTTATTTTTTTAACTGTGCTGCATGGCTTGTGAGATCTTAGTTCCCCAGCTAGGGATTAAATCTGCACCCTCGGCAGTGAAAGCACAGAGTCCTAACCACTGGACTGCCAGGGAATTCCCAGGGAATCCCTTTTTTTGAAGTGCTTTCCTTAGTGATGAGGTAGAAGGGCAGCGGATTGGAAGTCTGTCATCCTGCCCTGGATCACTGGATCACTTGAGACTTCTTGGTATATGTAATTATAACAGTTTATAGTGCTTTTTCTCAAGCCCTAACATTGAAGATAAACTCACTACTATTTCGTTTGATCTATTAATTTGTTGTATTGCAACATACAATTTTTAATTATACAAATATGTTGCTTTACTTACATTAAAGATTCATGCTCTGATCTGGAAATGTATCCAGCCAGTGTTTCAATGGGAAATGTGTTTATAGAGTTCTAGTGAATGGGCCAATTTATAAGCAGAATTTATAATTTGGACATTTACTGTATTCAAAAGTAAATTGAACTAGTATGTAAAATTTCAGTTAAATTTTAAATGACAAGGTCTTTATAAAGTCCCTGGTAATTTTTTTACTTTGAAATTTGTGTAACTTGATTGTTGGTATCTAATGGAATTTAGAAGCAAATTTAATATAGCTTTTAGGGATAACTTAAAAGTAATTAGGTCCATCATGATATCGTGCATAACTCAATCTTATAGCATTCTAAAAATTAATAGTGTTCCCTGAGCACCTTGTCTCAGGTAATCCCCATCTCTGTATGTTTCCATTGGAAAAAGAGTCCATTGATAAATCTGGTGGATCCAAATCTGCTACTTTTCTTTAAGTAAATTTGAGTAAACTATTTAGGAATTATATCCAGAGCATGGTGACATAGACTTAGAATGTGATTTAATTTTACTTCACAGACTCTTGAAATGAACCTCTCATTACTGCCATGATCTCTTTTAGGAATCTGGTCATACACTATCCTGGATTGTCATTTGAAAAGCTTACTTAAAGTTTTAACAATGATCAGTTTTTTAAATAACTATTTCTAAAGGACAGGGAGTAGGGAGAATTGAAATAAGACATTTCTGCTCTGTGCTTATAGAGAGAGCTTTGTTAAACTGTCTGATACAATGATTTTCAGACTTTTTTTAAAACAGATAAAGTACATTCATTCTCCCCTACAAATTTTGGATGGAATACTGATATAAAAAATAGTTAAAATTATATTTCTTAATTTAAGTCTTCATTGTTTGGCAGGAAATATTTCATTATTTGTGAGATCCTTGAACCACCTTCAGAAAACACAGTTTGTAAACCTTTGTTGAACAGTTGAGCTTTTTTTTTTGGCCACGCAGCATGTGAGATCCTGTTCCGCAGCTAGAGATTGAACCCACACCCCCTGCAGTGGAAGCATGGAGTCTTAACCAGTGGACAGCCAGGGAATTCCCGAACAGTTGAATTTTTTCTAAAGATGTATTTTCTTTTTTACAATTAACATGAACGAATTCTAATTATTTGAATTACACCTAATTTTACTCATATTTTTCATTTTTTGTCATATTGCAAATTCAAACAGTGGTATAATAGAGCTAAAATGTAATGAGGTTTAAAAATTACATTTGCAGATTTTTTTCTGCCTAAAGCCTACATTATTACAGTTCAGAAGTACATATGTGCACATTGTTAAATATGCTTTTTCTAAAATATGAATGATTATATTACATTAGTTGGGCTGAAAATCAAACACTTGTACTCCAGGCCATTAGCACAAGACTGGCTACTTTTTGTGGAGCTGACTCAGTGTGCCCTGCTGACTTGCATAGCAGGGCAGTTAGCACAGTTCTCTTGTGCTTGCTTTCTCTCTTTCCTATTTTTTCTTCTCTTCCTGAGGGTAGATTCTTATAACAGGAGGAGTTGAATCTCATGTTAGGGAGGTGAGTACAAATGGATCGTAGCTTGAAATCTCTTGTGACTCTTGGTTCCAGTTCTGTTAACCTGTCCCATCCAGTTTTTTATGGTTGAGTCAGAACCTGACTTGCTCTCTTCAGCTCTGAGCACTGTCTTTGACACTCAAGGTACTGTGGGTGGGAAGAAGTGTGAGAACAAAATCTGTTATTGCCAAAAAGCTAGAGGTAAACTTCAACCCTCACCTGAGAGGCTGGAAATGAGACAAGCTGGAATTATGGGTAGGAAAATACCGTGACTTTTAGGGTTTAGGAGACGTAGAAAGGAAAATAAACTAGAAAAGGAGGAGGCATCTGCTTTATTTTGTTGACTCCAAGAAGCCAACGTTTCTAAGTTGTACTGTTTTAAAATTATGCCATTAAGAAATAAATGCTGCTTATTTAACATTTTCCACGTGTAAACTCACATAGAAACTAGTAAGATTGTGTAGTCTAGGGATCAAGAAGAGAATGTTTTAGTAACTAGCCTCAGCAAATATATTGAAAAGGTAACATCTGAGGCCAAAAGAACTAAATATTAGTACTTGAAGAGGCCTAAAGCCTGCCTATCCAACTGTGAGAGTAAATCTCTGGTTTTACTGTGGATCACTGATTCAAAGACACAGTTTCACCTTTTAACATGTTCAAAATGGGAATACATCTAAAAATCGATGGCATGGTATAGTTTAATTGGCAGTCTTCTTTCATAATGGTACATTTTATATAGTCAGTGGCATCTCAGATCAATGTGTGGCAAAAAACAATGAGAGTTTAGTGTTATGGACGGTTTTGCAGGACTTCTTATTTATCGGTACTTAAGTTTTAAAGACTTGATTATTCTCTAACAGAAAGATTGACAAGGGATAATTTACAAATTATCTCTCATCAGTTTGAATAATCTGCATTTTGGACATTGATTCAAGTTTATTTCAGCTGAATAAATTTTGGTTAGCTAAGTAAGTTTTGACAGCTGTTCAAATATTGGGAAGAGGTATTCATTTTTTGTAAATCCTGAGAGCTTTGTTAAATTTAATAATTTGAGGCCTATTTCGGGTTCTGTTTTCTGGTTTGTTACGTTACTGTAATAATACAATGTATCTTTGGAATTATGGATGTCTTGAAGTTTATAGTAAATCAACCGTCATGTTGTATTTTCTTCTCTACTTCCTCACAAATAAACTTTTTGTAAAAGTAGAAATTTTAGTTTGATGGGTCTCTCTACCTCCTGCGAAAGCTGAGAGAAACAGGCCAAAGTATTAGCATGTTGCGGTTTCTAAAATGTTTGTTTGAATATCTTACGTTTGTTATTTTGTTTCACGTATCACCTGTCCCATCTAACAAAGGCAATTAATTCGGGCACTTGATGCCAAAGAGAATTCTCAAAGGTCTGGATTCTTTTCTTTTGATTCTGTGAAGCAGTTTCCGAGAGATCTTCTTGAAGCCAAAGCAGCATCACGGCTCACGGGGCAATTTTTGTTTAATGGTCTGTGTTAGAGCCTTATCGCATGATGGCTTCCAACTGTCAGTGGTACCATTCTGAGAAGGGTTTACTGTTACATTCTTCTTAGAGTGAGGTCTCCATTTCTAATTAAGGCACACATCTGGAGGTTCTCAAGAAAAATCAGTGCAGTTGGCCTTGAAAATGTTGTGTGTGACTTACTCGCTTTAGACCATCTTTTGTATAACCAGACACATGGTATTACATTTGTTTGACTTCTCTTACCTTTCTCTCCCACAGAGTATCTCTCATATTCATGTTGCACTTTGTGGAAGGCTTACCGCATAATGACTTGCAGCACTATTCATTTCATTCTGAAGGCTGTCTTTATCAAATAACTTCCGTAATTCAGTACCAAGCAAATAATCATTTTATAACATGGATTTTAGATGCTGATGGTAAGTGTTTAAACGTTTTTCTTTTGTGATAATAGGCATGGACACTAAACTGTAGTTTGTTCTTTTAAGACAGGCTTTGCCTTGGTTCTTTTTTCTCTCTTCCTGTCCTTGCCTGTTACTATTCTGCCCCTCTCCTCTATTCTGTCACTCTGCTTTAGAATCACTCCTAACTTTTAACTTTGCTTGTTTATTTTAGCATATTTATGTATACACATGCATATGCGTATTTCTTTTTTAGACAGAGATTGAGGTGATATACTACTGTTGGTTTACAGTTTGCTATTTTTCACTTAATGCCTTTGCTTTCATTTTTTATTATATGAGGAATGTATGTTCAGTATAAAAAATGGTGGCAATTTTGAGTTTTTAGATCTATAACCTTGTATTTCTTTTAAAAAGAAAGTGCATTGTTCTGGAGGTTTTTTAGTTCAAAAATAAAATAAGTTTTGCTGAGTTTGCAATTGTTAGTAATATAAATAAAAGTAAACATCTATTTCTAAGACTATTAGACATTGCAGACTATGTAACCTTCTCTCACTGTGAAATAGAATATCTGAAATCCATAGTTTGCTAACAGCTACAGTCAAGGTAAAGCCTTTATTTAAATAAATGAACTTTTCAATACAAGGTTAACTAGTACAGCTCATGAATTCTGCTTTTTCCCTTCTGTGTATTTAATGTGGTTTATTATTGAGTTTGTTTGCCCTCACGATGTTCACTTTGTCTTAGACAAGATAACTCAGTCTCCTTAAAGTGTTATATCAGTTCATTGATAAGGGGTCACTTTGATTTTGTTCTATTTTTCCATTTAGAATTGTTAGGAAATTTTTCATATTTGATATTTTCTTCCTGGGGATGGTTTGGTTAGATGACACAATAACGTGTTTATAAAAGCACTTTGCAAATTGAAACTCATGTTATAAATATAGTTATTACCTTAAAGTTTTACTCTTCTTCAGAATTGGGGCGGGGGAAGTGGTTCTCAATAACATAAAAAAACTTTGAAAAAATTTATTTTACTTTTTTATTGCATTCTAGAGAATGAAAAGTCTGCTTCAGGTAGAAGAGGTTAGATGGTTTCCAACTTTGACAGCATATAAAAATTGTATGGTTAGCTTATAAAAAACATCCTGGCTCTCCCCTAGACCAGTGAGTCAGTCTCTGAGAATTCAGCCCAAATGTTAATCAGATTATTCAAATGTGTATGTGTAGTGGAGAACCACTGACCTAGGCAAAGAAAATATTCTCAGAGTTTTAATGGGTATAGGATAAAAAGTGGTGGGTTCAGATAGTTTATAAGGGTGTATCCACATAAACTTAACAGATGGTTTTGTTTGGGGTTTTTTGGTATTATGAAAAACTTAATCTATTTTCTAATATTGTTAGGTATATTAGGTGATACTGTACTGTATTCTAAGTTCCAGAAGTTAAGGATACTTCTGTCTTGATTTTTGTGGGCATTTTAGAAAAGAGTAAACACTACCCCAATTTTTCACATTTCTGGATGTTAGTGTATAACTTTTGTTATCCGAATAAGGACTTTTAACATTTGGCAGAGAAAAATGGTGACCTAAGGCATAAGGCCATGTTTTCAAGCATTCTCCTTTGGTGGATATCCAGTGATACAGCGGTTAAAAAGGCCAGAGGAAAGTTAACCCAGGATGGTGGTTTTTTTGAATGTCTAACATCTTTCACTTTCCTTCCCCATCCCCCAGGAAGTTGGCTGGAATGTGATGACTTAAAAGGCCCGTGTTCTGAAAGGCATGAGAAATTTCAGGTTCCTGCTTCAGAGGTACATATTGTTATCTGGGAAAGAAAAACATCCCAAATGACAGATAAAGCACCTGCCTGCTGCCCACTTAAAAAGACTTATGATCAGCACGCTTTCGGAGATGAGAATCAAGTATCTCCAGCACTGTGTTCTGTAGGTGATGCTGCCTCAGCTGAAATGTCCTCAGTAACTCACCCCACAAAAGTGTCAGTTGCTCCTAATACTCTTTCACAGGATGAAGCCGTAACTTTTGAACATCATTTATTTTCAGGTCTTAAAGATTTGGTCGACAAGAATATTTCACCTTTGACATTTGAAGAAATACAGGTTAACTCTGAAGGTTTTTTATTAGAAAATAAACCTGTGGCAGAGAATGCAGGGGTTGTCAAAACACATACTTTGCAATCGCAAGAGTCACTAATAGCTTCTTTAGTATCGGCTCCATGCAAGGACAAGCTTACCCAAGACCAGTTTGTGGATTTAAGCTTTTCATCTCAACTTGTAAATACAGATGTGCCATCAGTACAGCTGAATACAGAAGGTACTGTAGTTACTCAGCCTGTGAATGATATTCGTGCTACTGACCTTACACAGAGAGTAAAGTCAGTAGAAACTGAGGGTACAGTTGCCTTAGAGAAGGATGCTCCATCGAAACAATTTATTTTACCAAAAACTGAGAAATTAAAACCAGAACAACATGTTACATCTCAGGTGTCTGATTTGAAGGAAAAAGAAACTGCAGCATCTTCTCAAACCGTAACAGCTAAGCTGTCACAGAATCCATTTCTGAAAGAAAATCAGAAAAAACCATTTGTGGGAAGTTGGGTTAAAGGCTTATTAAGCAAGGGTGTTTCTTTTATGCCATTTTATGTTTCAGCTCATAATAGAAACACTGTGACTGATTTGCAGCCTTCAGTTAAGGGGGCAAGTAATTTTGGTGGCTTTAAAACTAAAGGCACAAAACAAAAGGGTAACTGGGCATCCAGGGAAGCTCATAGTTGTACAAGTAAGCCTCCTCCAGTTAGTAATCCTGCACCAAGCCATCCATCACCAATTAGCACAGCTTCTGCTCTCCCTGCTAATGGTCATGGTGATTTGGAAGTTTTGAAGAAATGTGAAAACGCCTCATATGGAGCTCATCACCTCAACCACAGTTCTCATGGAAATGAAAATGGTGTTTCTTCAGCAAACCCTGGAGGCTCAGTTGAGGGTCAGATTCATAAACTTCGTCTAAAACTTCTTAAAAAACTTAAGGCAAAAAAGAAGAAATTAGCTGCTCTTATGTCTTCCCCCCAAAATGGAACACTTCCAAGTGAAAATTTAGAACATATGTCCCATTGTGGATCTCCAAATGACTGTGAATCAATAGAAGACTTGTTAAAAGAACTACAACGTCAAATTGATATTGCCGATAGTAAATCTGGATGCACCACAGCTCCTAGCGTTTCCTCACACAGTAGTCAAACTCATGAAGAAATCTTAGCAGAATTACTGTCCCCTACAACTGTTGTTTCAACAGAGCTCTCAGAAAATGAGGAGGCTGGCTTTAGGTACTTAGAAATGGGAGACAATCATATCCCAGCACCAGTACCTAATGAATTAAACAATATTCCCCAAAACATTCATCTGAGACAGGACCATAATTACTGCAGCCCCACTAAGAAAAATCAATGCATAGTTCAGCCAGACTCACTCACAAATAATGCCTGTGTTACAACATTGAACTCGGAAAATCCCATGAAGACTGATATTTTTGATGAGTTTTTTTCTACTTCAGCGTTAAATTCTTCAGCAAGTGACACATTAGACTTCCCTCATTTTGATGACTATCTGTTTGAGAATTGTTGAATGCTTGGTAACTCTTTTTAGTTTAATATTTATTATTACTCTTGGAAAAATTTACTGTGTTTTTAGATAGTGTTTACACACTGGCCTTGTCATGAACAAAATGTAAGCTACTGAAGGTTTTACCTTTGGTTATGCCCACAAAGCATATGATCTGTTTCACAAGTTTAAATGATGAGGAATTTGTTCTCCTTGTTGGCTTCGTTTTGTGTTTGTAGGAGAATGAGGATTTCAAAATGTTAAAAATGAAAAGTAGTTTATAGTTTCTGGCAGTTTGTACAGTTGCGTACATTAAATTTCCACATTTTAAATTTTAGTTCTGTTGGTTCAGGCAAAACACTAGTTGACACAGACTTAAGTCATTGTACATGGTACATGAACACATGACTGTTTTGCTAGTGGTTTTGTGGTCTTACGTAAGAGTCTCAGCCTGTCTCTTCTACCAGTAGAGTGGTGTAGAATGTAAGCTCCCCTCATACAACTTGTTTCCTCTTTCTCTCTTCACGAAAGATGGCAGGAAACTTGTTACTAGAACTTTATATAATGTTAGGTGATCAAAAAACTGATCTGTAACGGGAAAAAGTAACCTATTTTTGTGTTGATGTGCTAAGAGTTTACATTATAAGCATCATCTTTCTACCCCAAGACACTTATTTCTGTCACCAAAGTGGGACACCATGTAACAGTTATATTTTGGGAGAAATAGCCAGTGCATGTAAGGCTTGCCTGTGTTGGATTCTACTATAAATGAAACTTTAATTCATTTAAACCTCAACGTTCCGATGAGCAAGGTACTCATCACTTTTAACAGATAAGGAAACAGCACAGAACTAGTAAGTTGTAGAGCTGGGATTGAGTATAGAGTGGTTACTACAGTGCTTGAACTTAATATATGTTTTACCTCTAGCTTCATTTAAGGTTTGGGTGCCCGAACAGCACCACTGCTATAGTGATTTGAGTTAGTAGCAGAGTTCCTAAGGTTTGAAGGTGGCAGTCTTGGGGGAGAATATACTTTGCTAGGGACTCAGTACTGCAAAAATGATTTGTCAAAATTACTCCCAAACCTCCCCCTCCCTTTTTTTCTGATTGCAGAAGTAAAAAGTCATGTTTATTGTCAGGAAAAACTGGGAAAATACAGGAAAACACCAAGAAGATTTCGGAGCATTCATCTTAACACTTAGTGGTAATAACTACTGCAAACATTTTCATATTTTTATGCATTTAGACTTTAAGAAATAAATATGAGATTCTCTTGTACCTGTTTGTTAATGCTGTTTGTTAATGTTTAATGAGCATCTTTCCATGTTAGTTAGTTAGACAACTTTTGGATAGCTATATAATGTTACATTGTGTGTATTACCATTGTTCCACCAATTTATATTTTGAGGTGATTTGTATTGTTTTGTTATTGTTAATTATCCTTATTGATAAAAATTTTCACAGATCCAAGTTTTATTTTCTGGGAGTGGAATTTCTGGGTCAAAGACTATGCACTTTTCTCTTTGCATGGCTTTGCCGAACCCTCACCAACACCAGGTAGTAGCATTGAAGGGGGAAAAAACCTTGGCTGGTTTTGGTTACATTTCCATGATTATTAGTGAGGTTGAATCTTTTCTGTAACTTTATTGGCCAGTTGAGTTTCGTTGAGGAATTGCTTATCCATCCTTGTTATTATTCATTCAACTATTTCTAGATTTCTGCTGAGTGCCAAGCACTGTTGTAAACCTCAGATATAAGGCAATAAAAATAAATGAATAAATAAAAGGAAATTCTTGCCTTTTAGTAGTTTGCCTTCTAAACAAGGAGGTAAATATATAATGTTGGGTGGTAATAGGGGATACATACGGTTGACTCCTGTTATTTGTGGTACTTCCGTTGTATCAAGTCACCACAAACACTGAATTAGCGAATACTGGACCACTGCTCCTGGGGGAATGCAGTTAGGTTCCTGTGAGCCTCTGGTCACAACATTTTTGTCACCTGATCAACAAATGTTGTTTTTTGTGTGTTTCTGTTTAAAGATACCTTATGTAGTATATATTGTTGATTTATTAATATTGAACACAAGGTCACCAAGCGCTGTAACTCCTGCCTGAATGGAGCTCATCCCACACATGTTTTTTTCTATGAGGCATGTCACACCTTTCTTGCACTTTGGAATACTAGACAGCACTTGAGCACCACACTTGGGGGCCATTTTAAACAAGTGAAATAACCAACGAAAAGGACAAAAAATGTCCATAAGACATTTGGTCCACGCCAGTGGTCCTTGAAATTTGGTCCAATCCAAAATGTCCATGAGCATATTTGGTCCACGCCAAATGATCTGTACCAAATAGCAAGAGCCTTGATATTTGGCATGGACCAAATGTACTGCAAGGGTTTCAGAATTTTCACTGCTGTGTACATGTCCATAAATGACCACAGGAGCACTGCAAGTATTGATTTTTAGGGTTACAAATAAATTTTGGCAAGTAGGCAAATTCACAAATGTAGACTCTTCAAATAATGACGATTGACTAACGTCAGGTGGCACTCAATGCTGTGGAGAAAAGTGGGTGAGTGATGGGAGGACTAATTTAGACTGAGTGGGCTTGGAAGGTGCTTGGAGTGACATGACATTTGAGCGGGTACTTCAGTGAGGTTAGGGACGTAGCCACGGGACTGGACGCAGGGCATTCCAGGAAGAGCAGAAGTCCTGAGGAGTGAGGGTGCTTGGCAGGATCGAGAACAGGGAAGGGGCCAGTGTGCTTGAGCAGAGTGAGGCGAGGGAAGGAGAATTATAACGAGATCAGAGAGGTTGGCAGAAGCCAGATCACGTGTGGCTTTGTGGAGCATAGTAAAGACCTTGTCTATGCTTGAGAAAAATGGGAAGCCACTGGAAGGTTTCAGGCAAGGGAATAACACGGTCTAGTTTTGTTTTTGTTTTTTTTTGTTTTGTTTTTTTTTGCGGTACGCGGGCCTCTCACTGTCATGGCCTCTCCCGTTGCGGAGCACAGGTTTCGGACGCGCAGGCCCAGAGGCCATGGCTTACGGGCCCAGCCGCTCCGCGGCATGTGGGATCCTCCCGGACCGGGGCACGAACCCGTGTCCCCTGCATCGGCAGGCAGACTCTCAACCACTGCGCCATCAGGGAAGCCCACGGTCTAGTTTTTAAAGGATCACTGAAGTGTGGAGAATGCAGTTGGTCTGAAATAGAAGTGCTAGTCTATAACAGTCTCAGTTAAGACAGGGTGACCCGCTGTGGAGGTGGTGAACAGCTGGATCACTTGCCTTTCCAAGGTAGAGCCAACAGGTCATGTTGATGGTTGAAGGTGGGCTAGAAAGAGGAGGCAAAGATAAATCTCGTATTTTGTTACCTGAACAAATGGGTTGCGCTATTTACTGAGATGGGACAGACTTGCGAGGGAGAACATTTAAAGGAAAGAACTTACTCAGTTTTGGACGCGTTAGGCATAAGATCTCTATTAGACTTCCAAGTAGAGATAATTTAATAGGAAAGTGGATCTGCAGTGTTGGGCCTCAGGAGAGGGCGCCGCTGGAGATACTCTTTAAAGAATTATAAATGCGTGGATCCTATTTAATGCCATGATATAGGATGGGGCCATTTAAGGAGTTAAAACAGCTCCGGGGAACAAAAGGGGCAGTTAGGAGGAAAACCAGATGAGTGGTGTCCCGAAAATCAGGGGAAGATCTAACAGATCTGCTGCTGATTTGTCAGGTGCTGCTGGGAAGTAGAGAAATAGGACTGAGACTTGACATTGGTTTTGGTAACAGGGACGTACATCCTTGGTAACTTAGCCAGGACAGTTCAGTGGAGCTGTGAGAATAAGTGTGAATGGGTTCAAGCGAAAAGGGATGGTGAGAAAGGGCAGATACGAGTACATTCTTTTGAGATGATCTAAAATAGGCTGAGAGGTTCAAGTGTGTCTACATTCTTTTGAAACATTCACTTGACACCTGGTGGGGGAATGTGAGGTCAAGGTTTCTGTTAATGTTTTTAAGATGGGAGATGTCATAATATGTTTCTATATGAGCCTGAGTGTTCCAGGGAGAGAGACAACGGATGTTGTACATGAGAAAAGGGACAGTTGCAGGAGCACATTTCTCTGGGATGAGATCCAAAATAGGAGGAGGAGGGTGTGACCTTAAGAGGTAAGAGTTTATCCATTTTAATACTAGGAAAAACAAAGTATATAGGTATAGTCTTTAGGAGATTTGATGATTAGAGGATGAGAAAGGTCTTGTGATTCTTTTCTCGGGG